TTATAATGGAGATTGGTGGTGGCTTATATATATGGGAAGTGCGGCATCAATCCAGAAAGCAAGAACATGAGAATATGAGATACAAAGTATTTAGCATATATAGGTCAATTACTCTTACCTATTGATTAGTAAACATTAAATAAAGAAGGATATTGTATGAAAAGTGATAAGCTCAAGAAAGATAGAAATGTGCATGCTTTATAGTGGCTAACTTGACGAAAAATGATGGAAAGGGAAGACAGAAAAAGGGCCAACCGAAAAATTTCGCCCATACAATCACCTGAAATAAGGCCACTAATAGCTTGTTACATGTATTTATATTATGTAGTCCCCTATATCTATACACGGGTGACGGGACCATCAATATGTATAGGCATAACCCACGTAGCTAGGGTCCATGCCCTAGATATTAAAGATTTATTGTTGGATTGAAAAAAAAATAATATATATATATATATATATATATATATATATATATATATATATATATATATATATATATATATATATATATGGTTTATAATTTATTTTTGTTTCAAAAAAAATCTTAGATTTGCTTTGTTTATTAAATTATGATTTTTTTTAATTTTTTTTTTACTTATTTTAGGAAGGAAAATGAAGTTTTAAGTTCAGAAAAAATTAAAAAAATAAGTCTTGATAAGTTGTGAACTTTATTTTGATAAGGATGATTAAGATTTACAGTTTAAATGAGTTATAATACTTTCCGTTAATTAGCTAATTTAGAAACATTCAAATATGTGAAGTAAATAATAATGCATGTACCATTCTTCGTCCTAACTTAAAAATTATCCCACTTTCCGTTTCAAAGAAACCTTGGATTTCTTCTCGCTCGCTGTTACTTTATTTCATTTCGTAGAAGAAATTCTTTGGGAAAGTTTATGATCATCCTTTGTTGTTTGCTGCATTTGGAATTTGAATTTTTAACCAAGATGATGTGTTAGGATATTAGTGACTTTCTCATTTTCTCATTTCTCATTTTAGCAATTCCTAATATATTAACTATTAATAAAACAGGAAATTGCTGACATCATTATCTCCCCAAACTGTATACGTGTCGCTTTCTCATAAAAAAAAATTCCGCCTAATGCACTTATGATGTCATATATATATTTTCTTTTTGTTATTTTTTTTTAATCATTTTCATTTCAATCTTTTGACTATATCAATAAATAAATAATGATTATATTTTGGTAACTACGAATATATATATTTTTTTTATTTTTTTTCTTTTTAAGGTTTTGATGTTATTTTATTTTATTTTATTATTATTTTTATTTTTTATTTTTTTAATAAGGATTGTGCAAGCAACCTAACTATGAAGTCATGTACTAATAATATGGATGTTTGTTATACAAAAATGAACTAATGTTGTCGGTAAATGTTTCATTGTTTTGTATTTCCAAGGTGCTTCTATTTATTTCAATTACAAGTTTTTTTAATTTGTATTTCGAACTCTTAGATGACATATAACTTCGTATGCATATGGTTTGATTAGATCAGACTGGCCGGCTTTCAGTTTTACATTTTGTTACTTGTGTAATTTATGATGACAGATATGTTTTTATGATCTAATTTATAAGTATGTCCGAAGTAATAAATAACAGAAATAAGTTATTTCATTCCAATAATTTTTTTAATCCGTGCATCGCACAAGCCTAATATATATATATACATACATATATACATATATATATATATATACACACACACATATATATATATATACATACATATATATATATATATATATATATATATATATATATACATACATATATATATATATATATATATACATACATATATATATATATATATACATATATATACATACATATATATACATATATATATATATATATACAAATGGGATCATATGAGACCACATCCCTTATGTGAGAACCTGGTATATGTGAGGACATATTACAACCGTTGGATCAATTGCATCCAATGGCTACCATTTATCCCAATCAAACATAATTTCAGAAAAAAAGAAAAAAAAAATCAGTGTTTTCTCTCTCCTCCATTTTGCAAGTTATTTTCTCTCTCCTCCTTCAATTTCTCAGTTCTTAGTTCTCTCTACTCTATTTCTCTTTGCTATTTACTATGATTCTTCATCAATTCTTCTTCAAACTTCATCAATTTTTCGTCAAGGTGAGTTTCGCTTATGTTCTAATGTGTTTGATTTTCTTGGATTAATTTTTTCAATTTGTGTTCGGTTTTTTTTGGCTTAATTTGTTCAATTTGTGTTCGATTTTTTTGGCTTAATTTTATCACTTTGTGTTCGATTTTTTTCAATTCCATCATCAAATTTTACGAATTTTGTGTTTGTGTCGATAATTTTGATGATATTTTTCTGATTTTGTGTTTTTATGGACATTTAAGTCCGTTTTTGCTCAATTATTTCATGTAAATGTGTTTATTTTTTGGACATGTAATGTTTTGATGTTTGCTAGTTACTTGTTAAATAATACAGTGTAAATGTTTTGTGTATTAAGGTAATACTAATTTAGTTCTAATTTAGGGAATGTAATGTGCACACCAAGTGTTTGATAAAAGTCTCTGATATGATGTTACATATGTTTGAGTTCTAATTAACTAAATACATATCATTTAGTAATGCTAAGTATAGGTGTGGAGTTGTATGTTGAGTTCTCTAGCATGATTTGGTAATGCTGCTCTATGCATATTTGTGTTTCATTAGTGATAGAAATGGCTGAAATGATAATTTACTTCTTTCGAATAGTGTCAATATTGTAGCTCATTTGTTTGTTGTTCTTGTGTGAAAAAATAAATAAATTATATGTTGTTCCTTGGAAACTAAACTTTTAACATCGTTGTGTGGCAGAAAAGATTCCAGGGAAATTTTTTACTAGATTATGTGGTGGATGTCAAACTACCATCAATAATGGAGGTCTTTTTAGTGGTTCTGTACGTGTGTCATAGCTTCTTCTTTGCTTTAAGTTAGGGAGGTGAAAACAAGTTGTTCTTTGTTAGTTCTATTTGTGAGGTGTTCTGGCCTTACCAGCTTTGGCTATGCTCAGTTCTGATCAGGGTTGTGGTTGTAGTACCATGAACAACAATTGAGTTGATTTGGTTACCTTATACATGCTCTTGGTTTCTTTTCGTGTTATTAATTGTGCTTGGTTTTTTTCAGGCTACTATGTTGTTGCTAATCTTCCTTTGTGACTGTTTGCTGTTTGCTGTTTGCTGAGCCTTTAAAAGGTATGGCTTTTGTCTACAATGCTCTGTTAGTCTTCAAAGAGATATCTACCTCATGCTTTTTTTTAACCGTTGCTAAATTTCAGTAATAGATTTACCCTTTGTTCTTATTGTTGTTTGCACTTTTCTGCATACTTTGTTTTATCTGCTACATTGTTCTCTCATTAGTGTTTCTGTTTATGTGGGTCAATACTGAATGCTAGCAGGATATTAGGTCAATGCTGATAGTTGATACAATACGATAAATCACTGTTGTATATAAGGTCAATGTTCACAGTTAATCCTGCTAGCATCGTGTGAACATCTTACTTATTTGCGGTTTGTTCGAGTTTGGGTTTTGTTTTGTTGCAAAAGTGCAAGTGCATTCAGATAGGAGTTGTCTGATAGTGTTTAGTATATTTTAGGACTGAATTGTATGGTGGATGATATATGTGTCGTTTGGGAATGGATCTTTGGTGTCCTTTCTTTTTGGGGTTATGCTCTTCTTTTTTCTTAAGTCACGCTTTTTTCTTAAGGCATTTGACAAATGAGCAACTAAGTTTTTGCTCAAATTTTAAATTAGCAACTAAGTATTTGTTTATTTGACAAATGAGCAACTAATAATTTGCTCATTTGTTAATTGCTCATTTGTCAAATGAGCAATTATTTTTTTGCTCATTTGTCAAATGAGCAAAAAAAATTCAATGCTCCTTTGTCAAATGAGCAAAAAAAATTCAATGCTCCTTTGTCAAATGAGCAAACTATTTAATGTTCATTTGTCAAATGAGCAATTAATTATTTGCTCATTTGCCAAATGAGCAATTAATTTTTTTGTTAATTTGTCAAATGAGCAATTATTTTTTGCTCATTTTTCAAATGAGCAATTATTTTTGCTCATTTGTCAAATGAGCAAAAAAATTCAATGCTTTGTCAAATGAGCAAATGATTCTTGCTCATTTTCTCAAATTAATTCTCATTTGTGAGTGTGTTTGAATGTTTTAAATATGTTAGCCTACTAGCTCAAGGGTAGAGCATTGTGCAAATGCACAAAAGATGTGGGTTCGAATCCCACGTAGGTTCATTTATGTAATGTGGAGACACAAGTTTGTATGAGAGTTTAATTGTAACAAAGTTTATATAGTTATAAATCATTTCAAACCACTTTTTTGATCATATAATTAGTAGGAATTTGATTTTTTTTTTAATTAATTTTGTTTATAAAGATAACCTATGTAGGAATTGAACTACATCCCTTATGCATTTGCATAGTGCTCTACCAATTGAGCTAATAGGTTTTATAATCAATCTAACCAGAGAAGTTATTGAATTCTATCAGAATAGAAATGGTAGGAAACACAATCAAAACACCAATCCACATTTTCTGCTTCACCACTGATCAATGATTCAGCAGCCACACCAATTTGACAGATACAACTCTCCTCATAGACAATGACCAAGGATCTGCAGCATGTGACAGCTGAAAGAGATTGCCAAAACCTGAAAAAAGGGGGAGAATAATGACTGAGCACGAAACCCAAGGCCACCTACATTATTAGAGCTTTCAGCCACCACAATAGATTAATAGATTATATATCAAGAGTAATGTAGTTTATGTACATCATCTCAGTCTTACTTAGTGTGTTAGCAGAGAGAACTGTGTATATTGCAAAAGTCATCAACTTTACTGATATTAGGATGGCATATGAACATAACAGTAGCAAGAAACAAAATAAATCTTGTGCAGATTGCTCATATTAAAAGAAATACTATAGGCCCAACATAACCACAGTTTATTTTAGTTCCATTTAAGAATTATAATGGGGGAATCATACAGAGAGAGGAGGGACCAGAAGTAAAAGCAGGTTATCACATAAAAAAGAGACACTGTCACCAACCCTGCTGTCTCAATCCCAATTACTTAGACTGGGCATTCATAATACCCACATTAGAAATGAATTTAAACAGATAAAGGGCGCAATCTGCAAACTTGACGAGCAACCTTTTCCAGCTTTTCCTTTTCCATTTTCTGCAGAGAACGATAAATAGGTATTAGAATCTAGCATATCAGCTCGCTAGGTAAATAAGGGCAAGAAAAAAAATAAACTCATAAATTAAACAACCACATTCATTCTAGAGCTCTGATCTCAAATAAACAACCACTAGGACAGTTCATAAAGGTCAAATATGAGATTGGTTATAAATGACAACATACCATGTTTATGCAATAGAAAAAAAATGCACGTCATAGCACATTCAATCTACACATCAGATGAAGATACATGGAGAATTAAGAGAAACACTGATAGATGATAACAAGTTCTCTCTCCTAAAAGTCCTAATTTCCATTATTCTTATAAATAATAAGCATGACCATCAACTTAACTACATAGATATAACTTATAAGTTAAAAGTAAATGCATCACCTTGACGTAGACATTCTCTGCAGCCTTTTCCTCCTCACCTAGAATCTTGCCACCACTTGAAAACCTCTTAGATACATATCTTGCAGCAACTCTTCCTGCCATGTTGATCACAAGTATATGATTCAAGTATAAACCTGCATAAAGACAATGTTTAGCTCAAATTTGAGAATTGTATCATATCAATTTAACATCATAAGATTCATAACTCGCGAAACTTGTCGATATTGCAACAAAATGAGTTAAATCTTGCACGTGTGTGTATTTGGTAAAAATCTACTTAAATCTTTCAGATTTCAAGAGCATACTTTTAATATAAAGTAGTCACAAATGACACATAGCACATAAATAGTGGTCTTACAACAAATTTAAACAGAATAATGTTGGAATATTTAGAGTGTCGGAGTGGAGCGTGTTCTACTGTCTGATCGCGCTCGCGCTAGCTAGGCGTGACCCGCGATGAAACCGCGCCAAAACCGCGATGAGTTTCTGGAAATCTGGCAAGTCTTTGGAGGAGCGCCCGCTCCTCCAGGTGGCGCGCCTGCGCCACTATTAGGCGCGGCCCGCGCCTAAATCGCGACAAAATCGCGTCAACTTTCTGGAAAATCAGAAAGTTGGGATTCCAGAAGAGGAGCGCCCGCTCCTACTATAGGAGCGCCCGCGCCACATTGAGGAGCGCCCGCTCCTCCTTGTGGAGTGCCCGCGCCATCTGTTTTTTCGCGATTTTTTGACGGTTAAGTCTCTATTAAAGACTAGTTTTTCCTATATAGGAAAAGATAGAACTTTTCTCTGTGATTCTCCCTAAGTAATTCTCCATTTTTCTCTCAAAAAACTTGCAATCTTTTGTGAGAAATCTTCTTGATTTTAGTCTTTCTTGTGAATTATTCATCATCAATTTGTTTCTTAGTGCAAAGAACAATTGGGCTGACTTTTGTATCTCAAAGAGTATTTCCGGATCAAACCCAAGCACCATTGTGGGGGAAATTATACTCTTTAGGAATGTATTCATACGCCTAAGTCAGTGTGTCAAGGATTGAGACTCAAGTGGTCACCGGTTTTCTCATGTTCATGTTGGATGTAATAGCTTGGAGTAGAGGCAAGTAAAATATCTTTCACAACTAGTGTTTTCATTGTGTTTTTCTGTATTACTTTGATAAATTGGTGTTTGGTTGTAATACATTGAATTGTATTTGGATTTTTGTATAATTCATTATCAATTATACATAGTTAGGTTTTGTTCCCACCATTGTTATAGTAGTTCTTGTTTTTAGAATTACTTGAAAACCTAACAAATAATGCAACGGTGATCAGAATATTAACGACCATATAAGACTTCATGTTATACCCCAAGAAATTGTACACAGGTGGCAGGTGCTGCAAGATGAGTTAAATCTTGCATATGTTGATATCATGATAAATGAGAAAATAATTGCTTGCTCATTTGACAAATGAGCAAACAATAATTTGCTCATTTGACAAATGAGCAAAGAATAATTTGCTCATTTGACAAAATGAGCAAAGAATAATTTGCTCATTTGAAAAATGAGCAAATAATTGTTTGCTCAATGATAAATACCAAGATTATCATCTGTTCGAATATCGCCAACTAAGACATTAACCCAACTACCCCCGACTGCCACACCAATCTGACTACCCTTAATAACAAAGGGCAGTTCATTTTCCGCATCAAAAGTGTCTGAAGTATTACCTACGAACTCATTCAAAACAAACTCATTGATAATAGAGTACCAAGTCACAAGATTTCAAACAAGCATTTTATCAAACACCTTGTATGCACTATCAGGATATTCAAAACAAACTCATGGATAATAGAGTATCAAGTCACAAGATTTCTAACAAGCATTTTATCAAACACCTTGTATGCACTATCAGGATATTCATAAGTATCATAAAAATGCATCAAAATTCGAACAAGTTGATTTGAATTCATCAAAATTCGAACGAGATGATTTGAAATTAATAAAATTACAAAAATCAGAACAAGAAGATTGGGAATTCAATTGAAATTATCAAAATTAAAATTAAATTAAGAAAAATCTGAAAAGTACTAATTGAAATTATGCAGCAGTGAACAAGAGGAGAGAGAAAATTAAGCTCATTCAACTGGACATAATAACATTAACAGGCAATTTATTAGTTCTTAAATACTCAAATCGAAAATTTCTCATTGAATTTTAACGAATATAATCGAATTTTTTAACGAAAATTATCAAGAAATTTAACGAACAATTTGAAATTCTCAAACACTAAGATTAACATGCAATTGAAAAACTTTTTGTAAATTTTGATGCTAAGATTAAACTAAGATCATTGAATTTACAAAATTTACAAAACTAAAAGAATTACAAACCTCAATAATTTATGGAAATTGATACCCGTGAACAAGAAGAGGAGAGAGAAATTGTCGAGTTTGAAAAGACACCATTGATAAATTCTTGAAGCTTCGTGGTGGAGAGAGAGCAGAGCAGAGATTGGAGTTTCGTGATGGAGAGAGAGAGCAGAGCAGAAGCTTAGAAACAGTTAAGCATGGTTGTTAGAGAAGGTTTGTTAAAGAATGTTTATATCATTAATCTCAGCTATTGGATTTATTACAATCCAATGGCTGAGATTTGTCCTCACATAAATAATATGTTCTCACATAAAGGGTGGTTCTCACCGGATCCCATATATATATATATATATATATATATATATAGACACACACGTAAAAATTCTACGGTTTTTTTTTTTTTTTTGGTTAACTTTATTTTATGGCAAGTAATTGAAATAAGGAACATATATAGTATAGTTTTAATTGGAGAAAGGAAAAATGAGGATTGAGATTTGTTTGGGTATAATATATGATGATAGTCGATTGTGATGGGTACATGTAGGTGCAGTTTAATTCGTGTTACCTGAGCCCATGATCCGTTATTAGGGGACCACTCATTGATTGTACGTATTGAATATATTGATAATGATGCATTGATTTTATTTATTTATTTATTTATTAATTTTATATTGTATTTATTGAGCTTGTTTCATAATACAAACACAACCTTTTTTGTGGCTCCTCCTTCAATTTGCTCTTCTGATACATACAGATTTTTCCAGTGGAGTTTGTTTTCTTTAGGGTTTAATGCTTTAATTGTTTATGAACTTTATTATAGTCATTGGGGTTGTCTTCTAAGGCAACCCTAATTATGACGTGAATGTACCATTAATCTTACCATTTTTGTAAACTGTTTTTCGTAAATCTTTTGGTCATATTATGTGATAAAACAATTAAAAATGCAAAAATGACTCATATCTTTTACCTACAAATTGGTCTTACAGTGGTAATATAAGACAGTCTTATTAAAAAAAATTATTTTCTAAATTGACTTAACTAATTTGGTGCAAGATCTATTTGCAGTATCAATGGATAACTGTATTAACAAATATCTTTGTAAATTCAGGAATTAGTCAATCTGCAAATAATACCAATATCATATTGTCATTTGATCATCAAATTAAACAAGCTAGATTAATTAGTGAATGAGCAACTAAAAATTAATCTCCCCTCAAATTAAAAATATCAAACTAACAATTAAATCGTCAAACAAGACCCTTGTATTTAGGGGTGTTCAAAAATTGTTGTGGACCGAAAAAATGGACCGGAGAAGTCCGGACTGACCCGAACCGGACCGAATTAATCGGTCTGGTCTCCAGGTCGAGAAATTTATTTTTTCGATCTTCGGTCCGGTTCGGTGTAAAACCCTATAAAAATCGGTCTTGGAGCGGATTGGATTTTTGCTTTATATTATACATAAAACCTTTAATAATGATTAAGATTATCCTTAAAAAGTTTCGAAAAACTTTAGTTGTATGAGCCTTTTTGCACTAAAGATTTAAAAAACAGACGTTAAAAATAATGTTTTTCCTTTTTTTTCGAAAATTTCCATAAATTTTTTAATAAAATTTTTAAATCGGTCCGAACCGGTCCAGTTCGGGTTTTGGACCGATTTTTCGGTCTAGTCCGGGTTCGGTCCTAGCTTAATCGGTCCGGATTTCGGTTATTGAAATTCAATTTTTCGGTCTTCGGTCCGGACCGGATTGGTCCAGTCTTAGATCGATAAACAACTCTACTTGGGCGGTGCGTAGTCACTAATTAATGTAATTTCTTTGATGGAGATTTTGTTAGATTTTAATGGAGTGATATTATTTAAAATCATGTAACTTTTCCATAAATTATCCATTATTAGATTGAAAATTATTATAAAAAAAAAATGGATAAATCGATCATTTTATTCTGCAAAGTATAATATATCTTGAGATGTATATGAGCTCGCATGCATTATTATTTGTTTTGAGAGTAATTCCCTTAAGAATGTACCCGATTGATATTTGTCACCTTTTTCCTTTATCAAAAAAATAAAGAAAAAAGCTTTAATTCTCCTATATATGTTACTAGGTTTAGGGCTTTTTTTCAATCTTCACTTATTAATTTGGGTCCCCTATACTAAATGGATTTCTCTAGCTAGCTTACAATGTTTTAAATACCTTTGTCTTATTTTTTACTTTTTTTTTTAATAGAAATTTAAGTGCGGTGTTATTAAAATAGTAATTAATTAAAATAGACAACACAAATAAAGAATAGATGCATTTAGTCAATTCATTTATTATGTTGACCGGATGATTATTAGATGCAATTAGATTGGTGGATCCACATCTAAATTAAAGCAATAATTTCACATAGATGCAACTAATTAAGATAGACGGTGTTGTTTGTTGCCCAACTATAATAGGCTAATAGCATGCATATCATCATGTACTACGTATATCATGAACTTTGAGATTTTGATCGAGAAAATTTATATATAATGCATGTTATTATTTTTTGTCAATGCTTATCTATCTAGCACCATGGTGGGTTAGATTTTGTGTCTTTGTTTTAACTGCCAACAACCCATTTTCCTAAAAATTACAGCTCCTGCACTTAGATTTTGTTAAAGGAATAACATCCACTTACATTTTTTTTTTGTTTAGAGAGTCACAAAAGAAGATGATGAGAATAATATTTCAGGATTTCTTAAAATCGAGAGGGAAGCTCTAAACACTTAAGCTATTCCTCATTCTCAAAAAAACGTGTTTTTAGATAACGTATATCAGATATCGTCCACTTGTATGTCAGTAGATAATCTTAAAATTATGGATTGGAAAAATGATTGTCAGTAAAATACTAACAACACTATCAACATACAAGAGCATGCATAAGGGTGATTACTCACATAAGCGCGATAGATTGGCCGACTAATAATACACATACACCGTAGCTCATCAACACTCAACAACGAACTAACGCTTTCAGATTCATGCATATATTGTTGTTTGCAGTTTGTTGTACGGTTGGTCATGGTCATCCACAGGCAACAACTGACCCACACGTTCACACTGATCTAGAAGTATATAATTTTCATGCATTTATATATATGACTAAGAAAATTGGCAATTATATTGCTCAAAACAAATAAACAATAATGCCAATCAACATTATTTAATTTACGTACCTATGTATTTATTGCAACTATTGATACGTACATTCAATTCTAGTAGTACTAAACAGTCTGCAACTCGATCATATTAGGACTGTTATCATTGTAAATTTGTCACAGTTAATATTACAGTACTTTTGATACTTATTGAAGGAAAAGATAATCATTGATTCAAATTGTTTGATGCGTGAATATTATTGAGTAATTTTATTATATACATAGCATAGTATATCTGATGAATTTTCAAAAGGAATTGACATTAAAATAGTTTAGAATCATGTTTAAAATGAGAAATTCATCATTTTGTGTTTTATGTTTAGTTAGTTAATTAACAATCTTAAAATTGAGAGAAATGTATTGCCACAGAAATTCAACAAGGGTGATATGCAAATTATAAAGTACTCGTATTTATTTTCTTTTTAGTCCAAGGGCTTAACCCTACACATTCCTGCAACAGTAACACACATTTCACCAAAAATTTATATTAATTGATCTTATTATTTTTCTAATTGAATCTCAATATGAGTATCCTCTTATCGATCATCATTCAGTTTGTTTGTGCCATAATTTGTTATAACTAGTTACGATCATAACATATTTTGCCTAATTGGCCTAGTTGATATGAGCATGCATGTTGTATATATGTTGACACTTAATAAATTTGAGTACATGATACCGTATCACACTAGCATTGAAACTAAACATAATCTATAATCACCTACTTTTATATATATATATATATATATATATATATATTATCATCTAACATAATTGACATCCATTAATAACATACATACATACGAAATACAATATATAATATACGACATACTCGTATCTTATACACACTAAGGTTAATTTAATCGACATGTTTTTTGAAAAGGTTGGAACATATGACATAAATGAGCCCAAAATCAAGTGTAGTGTAACAACAATAACATGTATGATGCTTATTTCAGACCTTATATTAAATTATAATTACCTTCCCCACCTTTTCTTGCTTCCATATGCTGACACCCAAACACACCATATATAATTCTTTCAACCTTACTATTTTTTCTCATCATTTTTAATTATTTTGGGGGTCCATTTCTTTCTTTTTTGTTTTTCTTGGAAATATTCGAGCTGTTGGAATTTAATTCAATGACCATAACATCCAAATTCTGTTCTAGCTTAGAAATATAACCAATAGCTAGGGTTTAAAAAAAAACTAATAGTAAAACCAAGTGATAAGTTTAGATAAGATAAGTTCAAAACTGATACTATCTCTGTTTCTTATTATTTACAATAAAGGAATATTTTATATCTCACAAATAATACCCTTTGTTGCAAATAATAAGAAACGGAAGTAGTAAGATAATAAGAAAATATAAGATAAATGAATTCTAGTGATGAAGAGATTACTTCATTCATTCGTCTCATTTTGCTTGTCATATTTTGAAGAAGAAGAAAAAAAAAACTTACAAGAATTAATCGGTCAAACACAAATTCTTATATGTGGCTGGCCACACCATATGGCCGCCAACAATCATAGGAGTTACTTCATTAGTGTTAAAGGGGTTACCCAATCAGTGTTCAGGGGTTACTTTGTTGGTATTATAGGGGTTACTTTGTCAGTATTATAGGGGTTACTCAATCAGTATTACAAGGGTTACTCAATCAGTTTTTTAGGGATTATTTTGTTCTTTTACAAGCAACCATACGGTGTGGCTAGCCGCATACAAGACGCGTTGTCTATCAAATGAGGAGTTATTTCATTAGTGTTAAAGGGGTTACCCAATCAGTGTTCAAGGGTTACTTTGTTGGTATTATAGGGGTTACTTTGTCAGTATTATAGGGGTTACTCAATCAGTGTTACAAGGGTTACTCGATCAGTTTTTTAGGGATTTTGTTCTTTTACAAGCAACCACACGGTGTGACTAGCCGCATACAAGACGCGTTGTCTATCAAATGAGGCAATTAAGTGAGATGGAAGGAGTATGCTTGAGAGTATGTAAATATAACTTACAAGTAGAGCTGGCAACCTATATCCCAACCGATAACTCGACTTGAACTTAGTGGTAGAAATCCGAATCCAAATTGATGATCTCAATTGTTTATTTATGTTTTTCAATGCTCTATTTTATTTTATTTTTTAGTA